AATGTGGAATAAAACTAATAGAATTTGTTTACTTTTCAATACGGTTTCATAGAGTTCGCTATAACGACTAAGGCATAAACGGTTGTAAGAAGTATGTGCTGAATCCAATCGGTTTTTTGTTAATACGTTTTTTTTTCGTAGGTAGGTAGGTAGGTAGGTATACATTTTTTAAACAAACTAAAGAATTTAGTCCTTATTTTGAATAATAAAATAAACAAATATTTGGCGCTACATTCGTACATTGCCTGCCGAGGGCGGACTCCCGCGTAGAAAACCCTTTTTCTGTAATTTTTTTAGTGTAACTTTGACCGGAGGATCCATTCAGCCACAGCGCCCGCTCATTCAATGAATTCAGCTCCATGTCTGGCTAATTCTAACTCCCAGTTGAACATCGTTATCGACGTTATGGATATCCAGCCTATAACATATGATCGATAAAACAGTTGTTTTGCTTAGCTGAAGGATGTAACTCCAGTTAGCGTTAACTAGACATGGTACAAAGAGAAAAATTTGAACTTTTCAAGCTGATGCAAAGAGCCTTCAAAGGTAGGGCTGCCATATTTGCCGGGACAATTTGTTGAAAATGTCCTAAACACCCCAACTCCTTCTCATAGCGCAAAATAAATCACAGTTTCATCGAGATTTTTGCTACGTACATACTAGGGCCCTAGGTATGTTGTGAATGTGGAATTTTAGACATCCGCGGATGCGAATGCCAATTCCGTAATATACATATATTTCGCAAGCTCTACCAAATTTAAAAAAAAAACTGAAATATGGAATTGGCGAGTAAAAATTTTTATTGAATAAACTATTGTTTCTGCTAGGGTGACCAGACGTCCTGATTTATCAGGATATGGCCTGATTTCAGGGTCGAATTAAAGTGTCCTGACTGATTTTTCTTTTCTCGCCAAATATCCTGATTTTTACAAAGCTGACCTTTAATACACTTTTTACATATCGTTAGGCGCTTTATTGTACATCGTTCACATAATAACACAGTCATATAGATATGCTAAGGTTGGTTGCATTATAACTCGCGTAGATAGCGTCAGTTCTCACTGGTGACGTCGAAGGAGTTTGTATAAATAATTAGCCGCCCTAACCTTATTTTGGAAGTGTCACTGTGTGGTGTAACATCACCAATCGAACCATCGTGCTATGCAGTAAAACTGAAACGAAGGTAGATACTTATTTAATGTGTTGTAAAATCAGCTGATGAATTTAGTTCTGTAGCTGAACAGTTTCAGATCTCGACACTTAACAAGCTCCTGCTTTTCGTGACTCGGCGCAAAAATTTAAATAATAACCGTCCACTAACGCACTATCCAGTAAATCCAGTACTAATTTTACTGGTTTTACTGGAAGTCGTTTTCGTATGCCAAAACTTGCAAGAAACCAGCAAAAGAGAGAGAATTGAGAGAGCAAAAATGACAGCTGAACTTACAAGTTTTACTGGATTTTTACAGCATAAATTTTTACTAGCAACTATTTGCTAGTAAGAAAAACAACTGATGCCATGACGCTTAATGCAATCCACATTACCAAAAGAATTGTTTGTGGTGCTTTTAGAGTTGCAGTTCACAAAATAAACCTATTTAAATATATATTAAGATGGGAACTATTATTTTTCTTAGAAAATTGGGTTGGAAAATGACAAATTAATCAGCTGTACATAAAACTAGCAACTTCTTGCTGGTTTTGCATTTGCGTACTTTCTTGCATATTTCTCTCATTGGGAGTAAATATTGGCTTACTCTCCGAAATTTGGTAACTGGCAAGTTACTGGATATTTTTTGCTGGAGAATACGAAAACGCAACTAATCGTTCCGTACGTCATGCGGAATGCGCCCCTCGTGCGCATGGGCGCGAAAGGGGGGTAAAACCGTTGGGATAATAATTATTATTTATGTTATGATCTTTATTTTCAGATAGAACTACGATCAAAAGCACAATGTATAATAAACGAGGGTGCCTCTAGCGCCCACTGCGATTCGTACCGGGGTTCTCAGATTTTCTACGCGGATACATACTCTCTCTGCATGCCAACGTCGCACATGAAAATTTGTTGACTAAGTGCCCACATATCAGCAAGTCGTAAATTGTACCCGTTGTCCGCTACTGCATGACATTGTAACCATTTTTAGATCAAAACTCATACTTTATGCATTACATTCGAACCAGTTTTAGTATAATTGATCTATTTTACATTACATTGCTTTATATTTTTGGGCTATCTTTGGTCTAGATACAAAACTACTATTCCGAGATCCTACAAGGCCTAATACACTAATCGCCCGCTGTGATGTTGATTCAAACTCAACATTTGAAAACACATTTACATGTATGGCTGTAGCTGAGTGTGCAAAGACGCTTGATTCAATTGGTTGCTGCCAAGATGGTCCGGGTTCAATTACCATCAGATGGAACATAAAATTAAATTTTTTCCCCTCTTAATTACGAAAAAGCATCTGTGCACTTCACAACGACATATTTTATAACGTATGTATGTACATACTCAAATTTAAGACGAGTTGGGTTGGTGCTCTTTCATATGCGTATTTTTTTAAATTTAGCACGTTTTTTTGTAATTCTAAAATTGTATAATAATAATATATAATAGATTGGCGCTTACACATATCGCACACCGTCTTCAAAAGAGTCACAACTCAAAATTTGGCGTTTCTTAAATTATGCGCTAAAAATGTACACAGAGCTTTTATTTACCTTTCAGCAAAAGCTGGAGCAAAGTTTTGTTATAATTTGTTAAAAAAGCCTAAGGTAAAGTCGCCCTTGCCCATATGATTAGCATGTGCTACGAAATGGTTTTTCGAATTTTCTGACGAACGTATTATTTTGAGTTGTGACTGTTTTGAACACGGTGTGCGATATGTTAGTGTTTGGCCGAGCTTCTCCTCCGATTTTGTGGCGTGCGCCTTGATGTTGTCACACAAAGCGGAGGGACCTACAGTTTTACGCCGACTCCGAACGGCGATTGTATTTTTATGAGAAGCTGTTTTTCATGGCAGAAATACACTCGGAGGTTTGCCATTGCGTGCCGAGGGACGACCGCTGTTAAGAAAAAACCTTTTTTCTACATTTTTTTTGCGATGTTGCTTTGACCCTCTCAGTGTATATTGCAGATTATTACAAGTGAAGTCCGAATGGTTTTAAAAAATCTTGGTTTGATAATCAAAGCGTTTTGTATTATTGATTTGCTTTTGGACTTTAACCTCTTTTGTAAATATTAGGAAGCTATATCCGATAATTTAACCGTACCTGTTTTTTCGTTTCTACACACATATGTATGTAATTACCAGGGAACGGATTTTATGGAAATTGCCGTTTTTCTGCTAAAGATATAGAGTATATTCGATTAAGAATGTCCGCGATTTAGCTTTCCCTGATTCCATATACACACATTTGATGTTGCCTTTTTTAAGATATTTACCTTTTTTTGTCTTTTCTACCTTTAAAAATGTGATTATAGCAGATTAAAGATTAAAAAATATACACATGCCCATGCGGCTTATAGAAGCGCAAACGCTCCATATTTAAATTGGGCTCCACTTGTATCAACTTACGTCGAGCGCACATTTAGTACATTCAAGGCTTTTCTTCGCGAAAATCGAATGAAATTCTGCCAGAAAACTTCAAAATGCATCTTGTGGTTCAATGTTACTACAACTATACAGATTAAAGTTTTATGAGTTAGAAACTCGAAAGGATAAAATAGTCAAAGATTCAAAGTACAAATTTTTCATATAATGAAACTAGTTCATAGTTTTTCTCTTTTTACTTGTAATATAAACATTTATAAAATAAATGTATTTTTCGATTGTTCTTCGTATTTTCTGTCTTTTTTTAGTGTTTTATTTTGCTTTTTTTGCAATACCAAGTGCCTTTTCCTGCCTTTTTCGCTATTTTATTTTGCCTTTTTTGCAATACCTAACGCCTTTTCCTGCCTTTTTCGCTATTTTATTTTGCCTTTTCCAGCCTCTTTCGTTATTTTATTTTGCCTTTTTTATAGGTTTTTAGGTCCTAAAAAATCCGTTCCCTGGTAATTACATTCAGTGAAAGCTCTCATAGACGGACGCTCTAATAAGCGGACACATTCCTGTAGCTCGTTCCTGTAACTCTTCTCTACCGATTATTTCTCTACTGGTAGAGAATATACGTCATTCTCTACTACTCATTAGCAGTAGAGAACAGGGCGGCGAATTCATATCTCAATTCGCCTTGGTAGAGAATTGTTACAGAAACGAGCTACTGGGAACGAACAATTTTAAGTTTTTTTTTTCATACAAAACACTCTCCCATACACGAACTTTCCGATAAACGGACGCGGACACTCAAAAATGTCCAGTTATGAAAGAGAAATCTCCCATAAGCGGACGCGAGGCTCTAACAAGCGGTCAGTTTTGTTTTTTCTTCAGTCAGATGTTGATTCTTGCGCTTGTACATACATATTTTATTTTCTAGAAAATGTGTTGCCTTTTCGTTGCAATGAGATTTGTCGGTAGGAAAGAAAACGCCATAAATTTGAATTTATTTTTAACTTTTTTGGTTTTTGTCTATTGAAAAATAAATATTATTTTAATTTCGATACCCATAATATAAATTTTTTAAATTTGAATTTTAATGTTATATTTTACGAAATTCCCATAAGCGGACATCCCCATAAGCGGACAAAAAGTAGGTGACTATCGGTGTGCGGTTGTGGGAGCTTTCACGTCGAAGCTTTTCGAAGAAACACCATTAAGAGGCCATTGAAAGGGTAATATTTAACGCCGCAAAAACAACAAATAAGAGCGATTGTACTTAAGTTAATAGAAAGGTAAAATACAACTATGCCCCTTTGCGAGTTTTTTATAATTTTTCGAAAATATACAGTTTTTCCGATGTTTTAGTTTCAATTTCAGTTTTATTTACTTTAGAAAGCTATACAAAATTATTACGAGTAAATATTCAGTTTGTTTCTCCATGTTTTCTATCCCTAGTACCTTCTCACATTTTACAATCTTTACTACTTCGACTGTGGTGAACCAACTTTCGGCAAAGAACTCGATCATATTAAAGTACGCGTAGTTGATGAAAAACCAGCTAAAACACATATTAATTGTGAACCCACTGCACATGATCCATCAACAATTCGCATATCATGCCGCAAAATCGTGCATCACCATCATCATTAGCGAAAGCACTTGCCGCACAAGTTCCTTCACTCAAAACTTCAGCACACGGAACACGATGCATTGCTGACCAATATTGTACTATCAGATTTAAAAACTCCGAGCAAGAATGCACATTCCACAGTGGGAAACAGTGTGGCAAATCCCATAGTGCGGGAAGATTCCCATAGTCATTATGGAAAAAGTGCCCATAAACGGCCTCTAAAATATGTGGAAACGTATAATCTTATTGACATCAAAGCACTACTTTTCTTCGGAGGATCTTATACCCAACAACACCATCACCAAAATTCGTATCATAAACCAAATAAATTTACTGAAATTATCAAAACACATGTGCTGAAGCCTCATAAACCAACGTTGGAAATATATGAAACTCATAAAAGCGTCGGTGGCACAGAAGGTCATGGTATCTCTCACATGCCCTGTACGAAATTTGCAGAGTCGCATATAGATGAGTACAAGGAACTGAAATCGATGACAGTAAAAGAATTACCTCTCCCGAGAGGTTATAGTTTCGTTACACCATCTGCAATCGAGGAGTATAAGCCGAATGGTAGTGCTTACTTACCGCGTTACAAAATGTATGCAACAGCAGATGGCACTCCGGAAATAGATGTGCCTGCATTTTTAACACCTAAGCAGAGTATCTCTTTACCTCACATAGAAGCCCAGGACTTTACCGGCGGAGGGGTCGAGAGTGGACATTTTATGCCATTCATTGGTACCATGTATTTGCCTGCCAGAGAGGCAAGCGTGATGTCAGAAAAAGCTACTGAAACCTATATCGGTATTAATAGCTATTCTGCAAGTCATGTTCAAGGTGTAGATGACCCAAGCTTTCTATCTTACTTGCAAAGAATTTACTTAAAATAATGTAGAGTTACTTTATTTAATTTAGTTTGAGAATGTGTTAGTTTTTTTACATACTTATTTATGTATGTACTTATGTCTTAAGTCAATTAGTTAAATAAGAAGACAAAATCAATACGCATAATAAAATACAAATAAAACACTGTTTGATATTCATTTATTCATTTTTTTTCTTCTAAACACACTTAACATTGAAGGCCTCTGTCGGCGCATGTGAGACACTTAAAGGGTTTCGTTCAGTACATATCTGGCTACGTTGCGTATTGTATGTTCACTTAAAAGCATTTAATTTTCATTAGAAAGGTGCAAAATGTATGTAAGTGCATATCAAGTATACCTACATATGTACATACATATCGCACATTTGGTGCAAGAGTGTCATAATCCAACAAAAAAAAATATTTAAATACATAAGCATGCAGAAATTACCTCTTTTCTATATTGCGTAAAAATTTCGTAGCTGTAGCGATTAACCATAGCTAGTTAGAAGAAAACTTTCTTTCATTCTAGTTAAAAAGTTAGAAATTTTGGTGAAAATTTTTTAAGTTTGATTCATTTTTTTTATGAATACTTCTGTGAGTGACTGTATGTATGTGGCATATCTTTAGAACTTTTGATTTAGATGATTATGCATAAGTATTGGTCAAAATTGCTATATCTTTTTGGTACTTTTCAAAGGAAAATATATTGTTATAAGAGTTACTGTAGTGTTTTATCCGATCTGAAACAATACACTCTCGTTGTAATGCCGAAACTAGCTAAAACACCAGTGAATCAAAGTGACGATCAGTGTTGCCATTTTAATTTTTCAAGCAAGGTTTACCTTTTTATACCCGAGCGCGCTTGTGCACAAGGGTATATTAACTTTGTTAGAATAACAGTTGGTTAACGAATCGAGATAGGTATAGGCAAATGTATACATAAATGCTCAGAATGAAAAGAGAAATGATTACTCGAGCAGAAATTGAAACACCTCAACGAAACTACGATATTTCAGTAAATATTAGATGCAAATTGTTGAAAATTAGTACGTGAAGTGAATTATGGTAAAAAATAATATTATTATGAAATTTTTGGGAAATGGGCGTGCTCCCGCCCACTTATGATGAAATGCTGTATCTCGGTAGCCGCATCACCAATATATAAAAAATATGTTGAAAATCTTTGAAATCGGGAAATAACCACGCCCACCTGCTATATAACGGTGATTTACAGAAACACGAAAACTGTGAAAATCGGTAACTACTGGAGCTAATTCACTTAAAATCGATGATTGCAATAACTACTTAGCAGAAAACTAGAACAGTATAAATTTTTGGACAAAGGGCGTGGCACCGCCCACTTACGACCACAAATGTGTATCTCGGTAACCGATTTATCAATTTCTATCAAACCTTGGTACGAAAAAGCAATTGGTTGAAAATTATTCAAATCGGACTAAAATTACACCCGCTTCCCAAAAAACGGTAAATTTCAGAAATACGAAAACTCCGATATTTTAATAACTGAGGACGCTAATTTACTCCAAGTTAAATGAGGTGACATCGGTTAGATGAGTGTGTAAATTTTTTGTTTTTTAAATGTCGAAAATCAAAAGTTCCAGAAATATCCCCATGTAAACTGTAAACTTTAAAGCTGTTTTGCTCGAGTTTTTGAATTTTTGCATTATAAAACAGAGATCACACGATTTGTACATTTGTACAGATTTTTACATTTTCAGAGTTACGGAGTGGTGTTATTTGGAAAGTTATTATTGAGCTGAACTCATTATTTCTAGGCAACACCACACTGTGACTGCGAAAATGTACAAATGTACAAATCGTGTAATCTCTTTACACTCTTGCAGCAAACGAGCGATATCTCCGTTTGCTGGAGTATTCTTCCATATTTCAAAAAATCTATAATTCGGGAAAACGGATTTAAAGTTATTTATCAGTTATTTCTCTTTGAACAAAAATAAATGTAAACAATATAAAAGTAACATTTAATACAAAGAATAAAACTGTCATCAAACCTTGATTTTTTTTCTTACTTTGGCCAAAGAGAGGTTAGTTTCTAGTCATTGTTGCTAAGCAAATGCAAAAGCATAAAACAGAAAACATGAAAAGAGTATCTATAAATTAAAAGTTTGCCTAAAGCAATTTTCTAAGCAAACGTAGTAAATAAGTATTTGCTTTCTTCCGAAACATTTGCATTTCCAATAAGTTATTTTAAACTTAAAAATCATCAAAAAAATTTCACTAATTTCATAATTTGCAAACAACTGTCTTTGATCAGCTGTTTTTCGTGTTCGCAAATTGCTGCTGGCAAATTTTTTCCAGCAGGAATTAGCAACTTTCCCCCCAAGTCAACTGTCACTTTGCGCTCTCAATTTCCCCTGCTTTGCAAGTTTTTGCGTACGCGAACGCCAAAACCTATTATGTAATTTGTGATAATTTGCAATAATTATCAGCTTGTCGACCAGACTAATAGTTATTTAAACAATAACTATAAAAGAAGAGCTAGCAGGAATTACTGCGTACTTAAATATATTTTTACTTGTTATGACGTTATGTCAGCTAACGAGCGTTATGTATGTGCCTTAGGGTGGTCCAAAATTACACGTGGAAAAGTAAAGTCGGAATTTTTATGCTCTCACCCCCTAGGATTGTTCTATACCGAAAAAAATTTATCCCAATTTTTTTATTTCAAAATTAAAAAATATTTAGAGGTCGCTCAAAGCGCCCAAAGTTTTCCATGTATTTTGTATGGGGGAAAAACAACTTTTCGTAGAAATGGTATATAATTCTTAAAAATCAATATTTTTTTATCAGAGAACTCAATTTGTCTGCAGCAGATTCCCAATAATAATACTCAAATTTTTATTTAACCATTTTTTATCGCAACTTTAATTTATAGGTCCGCCAAAAACCCACAAAAACCCCGAAAAATTCAATGGGGGGACCAATAAAAAATCGTTAGTACTAAACAATGGTTAAATAAACAATTGGGTCTTATTACTGAAAGTCTCCTGAAGAGAACCAGAGTTTTCCGATCGAAAAATATTGGTTTTCATAAATTCTATACCATTTCTACGAAAAGTTGTTTTTTTTCCCATATAAAAATACATGGAAAACTTTGAGCGCTTTGAGCGACCTCTAAATATTTTTTGATTTCAAAATAAAAAAATAGGGGTATACTTTTTTTCGATATAGAACAATCCTAGGGGGTGAGAGCATTACAATTCCGAGTTTACTGTTTCTGGACCACCCTAATGTGCCTACATACATACATAAGTAAATAAGTACATAACTAAGTTCATTTGCTGTCACATTTTATCTGCCTAGAAACTTTTAAACTTAGGCATAAATTGTATGAAGAAGATCATATAAGTGGCTATTGAACCCAGCATCTGAAAGAATAGTGTTAAAAAAATCGTGATATCAAGTACATTTTTTTTAGATATGCATGTATTTATATTCCATACAACAAAAATATGTATCTTCACTTACGTCCCTCGCCATATCGCATTTTAGCACAAAGAACCCAAAACCATCAATAATGATCTGCTGGTGTAGCATTTGTAAAGTGAAGCTTTGTAACTGAGAATTACACCAAAACAAAAAAATCATTAATTTTGCTTGTAATTGTACGTGAAATAGCTCGAGGTGCTTTTGACCTTTTTGCTAATCTAAATCTTTACCCGTGTTGAGATGTTGAAGTCTTCTATGTCATGACGTATTTTGTGTACATTGTGAGCCAGAAAATTTGTCTGTTCAATAAATAAATAACGCAAAAATCTTAATGAAGTAATCTGGTAATACATACATATCTATACGTATTCAAATGTACATGTGTATCAACAATAGCTTACCGATCGCATACAATCCCGCGCTGTAATCAACAATAGAAAGATGGTCATGGCGGAAGGAACAATCAGAGAGTACTCTAAAAAAAGAAAACTGATTTTTTATATGTTTAGATAAGTATATCCAGATAAGTGATCCAATCCAATGATGACTTGCTGGGGATTTTTTAGGCAACCCCCAGCATTCGGAGTTGGCACCGATCGGAGTAGATTTACTCCAGACCTATGCTTTGTGAAGTGTGCGAAAAAAATTGCATATCAAAAAGGGCTTATAGCCTCTATCTGGAAATTACATAAAAACTTCGTTCTAACATTTCAACTCGTATCTGTGGTGCCGCCTGAGTGGGCAAAAATCTAAAAAAATTTTCTCCGCAATGTGAACGTGTTTGGTATTTTTGTAAAGGTAATTTATCCACTACAAAGAATAAAATAAAAATTTCCTCATAAAATAAATTATGTTCCGCCAGGAAGCCACTAAAGTCAAGAATTTTTATCAGAGCATAGCCCGGCGTATGTTCTTCTCGGAAACAATTGTCGAAAAAACATCCTTTGAAATAAAATGTTGGTTTGACGGTCAGAAGCAGCGTAGAACTATAGGCCTCTCCAATTGTTGGACTCAGGGCCGTAGCCAGGATTTGTTTTCATTTTTCTTTCACTTAGATTGATTAACAGAAAAATACTTATAAAAATAAAATATCTCACGCAAATAGTGTTGAAAGTCTGAGATTCATGCCCGTATTTTGTTTGTAAGTCAAATATTAGTGGCATTGTGCTACTATGATAGCACGGCCGAGTAATCATAGTCAACTAATGTACAGTAGTTGAAAAAATTATAGCCGCACAAAATTTCGACAAGTTTTAAATATTATTTTTGTTGTTATTTAATTTTGGTTAGCTTTTTATAGTTCATTCTTTAACAAGATCCGTACAAATACAATTGGGTATTCGCCGAAATTTGGTGTAAATCGCAACCTAATTGTGTGAATACCCAAATATTTTTCTTTATCCCAATCACGAAATTTTTCATTAGAAGATTGCTGTATTGTACCAATCTTTTGACTACAAAAAAAATATTCCCAATTTTTTTATTTGGTCCCAATAGCCCACTATAAAAATGCACAAATCTGTACAAATGTACCAATCGAGTAACACTGCCTCAAAAATTTATGCAATTAAAAAAATATAAATTCAGCAAATTTTCGTAAAAATTTCGAGTTATATTTTAAACAAAAATCAGTAATGTCAAAAAAACAGCCTGAACTTTTGGAGCCACGGGTACATCTAAGCTCAGATCCTCGTTCTCAAATCCTCGTTCAAGATTATTACCAAAACAACTTTTTACAACATTATTAAATTTTTTAAGCATGTCTACATATGGTAATGCTAGGGCATCTAGATGCATTTCTGCATCAAAACGAAAATTTTGAAAAAAATGTCACTTACGTTATTTTGGCGGTTAGGGCTCGTTATAATTTCAAAGATACGGTTAATTCCAAAATTTATTTAAAACAAGTAAGAAAGTCTAAGTTCGGGCAGAGCCGAACATTAAATACCCGGCGCAAGTATTAAATATATATATTTTTCACCTTTCCGAAAGCTACCGCTACATGGTAAGCCGGGGTGTATCAATTTTGAGTAAATTAGCGTCCTTAAATTTCGAAATATTAAAGTTTCAAGCATTTCAGAAATTTACCGTTACATGAAAAGCGGCCGTAATTTTAGTCCGATTTCGGTAATTTTCAACGTTTTGCTTTTATGTGGCAAGCACAATAACCAGACCGAGTTTGATACAAATTGGTAGAACGGTTACCGAGATACATATATGTGATCATAAGTGGGCGGTGCCACGCCCATTTTCCAAAATTTTATCATAAACATATTTCTTGGTAAAGAATTGTTGCAAGCATCAATTTTGAATAAATTAGCTTTAATATTTACTGATTCATCGAAGATTTTGTATTTCTCTAAATTACCGTTGTATGGCATGTGGGCGTGGTTATTGTCCGATTTTAAAAATATTCGGCCATTTGGGTTGCTGTACCAAGGCCAACAACTGGAAGAAATTGGTGCAGCGGTTACCAAGATATACACATATAACCATAAGTGGACATGGCTACGCCCATTTTCCAAAAATTTATAATGTTCTTATTTTTCGTCTAAAAATTATTGTGAATATCAATTTTGAGTGAATAATCTTCAGTAGTTACTAAAATATCGCAGTTTTCGTATTTCTGAAAATTACCGTTATATGGGAAGTGGGCGTGGTTACAGCCCGATTTCGCTCATTTTCAATACCAACCTACCTTGGATAAATGGAAACCTACATACCAAATTTCGTTGGGATATATCAATTTTTTCTCGAGTTATCGTGTACACAGACGGACAGACATGGCTTAATCGATTTCTCTTTTCAGCATTTATGTATACATTTGTCTATATCTATCTCGATTCGTTTTGGCTGTTACAAACAACCGTTATGTGAACAAAGTTATAATACCCTTGTGCACAATTGCGCTAGGGTATACAAATTCAGTTCAATGTATAACAAAAATATGGGTACCCAACGAAATAATTTTTTTTGGGTTCACAAGGTCGAATAGGAATGGAAAATTCGCGTTTCGTCTATTTTATTTTTAAGCTAATAAAGTTAGTCCTCAACACATAATTTTTTCAAAAATAATAATTGAAAATTTTCAAGGATATATTCGAGGATAAAATTATAAAAGGGTATTTTCAATACCTACCCGTCCCACAGTGCTTCCCTTCCATATGAAATGTGGGCAAAAATAGAATTATGGACGGATTTAAATGAAAATTCGCTTCCTAGTAAAATTGAGGACGCTAAATTCAAAAATGCAATTGGTTTTTGGATAACTTTCATACTTTCACTGTAAATGCAGTTTGAAGTTGAAAATTTGGGTTCTTGTGGCTTTTACACAGGTATGTAAATATAGTTCGTTCTATTTTCAAAAGTGAGGTGTGAAAAGACAGGGCTTGGCCTGTAGATATGCAATAAAGTTTTTTATTTTTGAAAAGGGTTGCCACCTGTTACAAATTTTATTTAAATTATTTAATAAGTTAAATGAATTAGATATTACAATATGGGTATCAATTGAACTAGTTTTGAAAATACTTTACCTCTAAAAGACACGTAGAAGGGTTGCCACATGTTTAAAAAATCAAATTCACTTGAATTAAGGGAATAAGGTAACTGAAATATGTATATCAATATGAGTATAAGACAAATGAAAAAAATGTACATGTTTAGCAAGAAATAAGTGGAGAATAAAAACATTTTTGAGTTAATTTAAAAGGAATGTAATCAGAACAAATCACTGATTGACAATGTATGTATTTGTACTAAAACAACAAATACGATGGCGTAATCCTATGGTTTGACGTAATTATTATTTTATTTTAACTAAATTCGACTTTACAAACAGGTGGCAACCCTATTCGTAAGCTAAAACCTTCTTAAACCTCTTTCGTCTGACTCCCTTATGGTGATACCTATCTATTTCAATTACCTAATTCCTTTAATGCAAGTGGAATTTGGTTTTTTAAACAGGTGGCAACTCTCTGTACATGTAGTTAATACACATTGCGATTGATACCCATCTCTTAATAATTCATTTAACTTATAAAAAAATTTGAATCTAATTTTTTAACAGGTGGCAACTCTTTAAAAAAAAAAATAACCTTCGTCCACGGGTTAAGATTTTTAATCTGACACTTCATTTTTGAAAATGGAACGAATCGTGCAGATCTCAAGGCACTGACAAAAAATGAACAAAATTATTTTATGCATTAGCGAAAAACGCATTACTTCAGAAAGTGCAAAAAATGAGCAGGTTTTTATTTCTTCTTTTGAAAGCTAAAAGCCTGTACTATTTAATAAAATAATAAAAAATAACCTATTTTTACATATATTTTTTATTCATTCCATTAAAATTTTGAATTTTTTTGAAATTTTGTTTAAAAAAATCGTTTTTTGGAACACCGCAAGGACACCCTGTGTTTAATTTTATCCCAAAATTTTAATTCCTGTAATTCTCTACTAGCTATATGGAAACAAGAAACGTCGAACCAACATTTTATTTTAAAGAATATATTTTTGACATTTTTTTCTGTGAAAAGCTTACGCCTGGCTATGCTTTTATTAAAATTCTTAGTAAAAATTTGTCGACTTTAGTGGCTTCCTGGCGGCATATAATTATTTTTTTAGGGAAATGTCTGTTTAATTCTTTTTAGTGGATAAATTGTCTTTACAGAAATACTAAACAAGTTCACATTGCAGATAACGAATTTTTCGATTTATGCCCACTTATGCGGCACTGTGCGTCAGAGAGAAAAATTAAGAACGCAATTTTACTATATTTGGCCCTTGGTTTGGCGAATATATTAATTTTTTTTGTGTGTAAAATTGCCTGCTACAAGGTGTTATATATATATTCAGCTACACATTTATAAAAAAATATTAATTATTAAATAAACAAAGGAAATATAGCCAAAGCTGTTCAACATAAAGCGTTTCTATTATTGCCACCAGTGTAAATTACAAATCCCGAAAATCCCGGAGTTCTAGGCAACAAATCCCGGGGTTTTCGATACTTAAAAAAGACCGGGATCCCGGAATCCCGGGATTAACATTCCTAATAGGTACACGTAGCAAAAGAATTTTGTCCCCTTTCAGACACGTCAAGTCTTGCTTTCAAGTCTGCTCGTTCGTAGGCGAAGGAGGTGAGAAGAGAGGGGAAGAGTACAGATACCTCCGTACCGTCAATTCGTTTCAAGTTTTCTTGTCTGTTTCGATATTTTCGTTGCTTCCCATTTAAAGAACCAAGGACTTGAATTAAATTAAAGTTGACGCGTGTGGAAGCAAATAGAAAACACAAAAGAGAATCCGAGAAGACTTGACGTGTCTGAAAGAGGACTTAATATCAAAATAAGAAATACATATGTAGTTAATAGGGATGTTTAATTTTCGACATTTTCCGATCGCGGGATTTTCGGGATGGCGTTGTCACAATCTCGGAATACCGGGATTAGTCCCGGGATTTAGATATTCATTACTCTTCAACAACTTGAATCGAAAAAATTGCTTCTATGTTGTTTGAATAGCTCTCCTACCATGAAATAAATAACAAAATAATTGGGTTTGAAGCCTACTTTTTATTTAAAGTGGCGTTTTTATTTTTTCTCTCTGAACGCAGGATTTATTTTGAAGGCCTTTCATTTTCAAGGATTTTCATTTCAAAGATATCATTAATTCCAAAAATTATTATATAAATTCAAATTTTAAAAAGTTTAAGTTTTTTGGATTCACAAGCACGAATAGGTAATTTTTAAGCTGAAAAAGTTAGAAGAACAAAATTCGAGGATGTTATCGAGTTTTTCAAAAACCAATATTGAGTCAAACTTTCTGAAACGGGCAACTAAAAAGTACTAGTAGAATTTCAAATATGTTTTGGCAGGTATTCAAAGATCTATATGTGAAAATTAATGTCTTAAAATATTTTTTGAAAATTTAAATTTTTCAAAAATTTATTCATACATATGTGAATTTTTGACCCTCTTTTCATCAATTTTATATTTTAATTGCTATATTTCCATAAATATTCAATGAAAACTAACCAAATTTTGTTGACATATTCAGAAAAAGTAGCAGAATCGAAAAAAATATTCATATTGGAGAAATTTTATTTATTAATATTATTAAATAATAATTAATTTTGCAATAAACAATTCACAATTTAACTGACTTCTCCTTGTGTTAAACAAAAAAAAAAAAAAAATTACGAACTTATTCTATAAAGCATACACTAACCATTGGTGCAAAAATATTATATCCGATAAAAAAGTACGTTTGTTTAAGCATCACCGTGGATACGCGAAACCACTACCGGAAGTTGAAACGCAGCGCCGATACACCACGCGGCCGCTCGTCGTTGCATGCTTACGTTTTTAAAAGCATAGGTCTCTTATTATTATTACATATGTTAACACTTCTTACGATTAATTCTTTATATTAATAATTATTGCAATGTCAGTGACTAAATTTATTTTCGAAATTATGAGGCTCCTAAATTCTGAGAATCTTGAGTACAGACTAGCGGCGAGCAAGCATTGATTTTCACTTCATTTACTGTCAAGTGAATTTGATTCATTTGCATACTGCATTTATGATACTTTTATAAAACATATTACTGCAGAATTACCAGATATTTTGAAACATGATTTCATCGCGGAATCACAATCAAATTATTTGCAAGAATTAAAAGAGTCACTTAGCCATGGGGAATTTTTAGTCACTCTCGATTTCTCTGAAAATTATTCTTTTCATGTGCAAAATGCTATTCGGTCGCAACATTGGTGTAAGGACCAAGCATCATTGCACGTATATGTAATTTATTACAAAGAAAATAACGTTGTGCACCATCTTAATTTCGTTGTTTTTTCGGAGTACGAAAATCACGATGCCACTGGCGTACATCTGTACAACTCGAAAATGATTAAATTTTTAAAAAGAAAATTTGGCGTGCGAAACGTAAAAAAGTTATTTTATTTTTCCGATGGAGCAGGATGCCAATATAAAAACAGATTTAATTTTGTGAATCTTTTACACCAGGACATTAATATTAAACCAGAAAGGCACTTCTTTGCCACTGCCCACGGAAAAGGAGCTTGCGATGGAATTGGTGGCTGCGTTAAAAAAATGCATACCGCGCTAGTCTACAGGATAAAACTATTCTTTCGACACAAAAATTGTTCGAATGGGCGCGCGAGTTTTTCAAGAAAGTTGATTTTGATTTTTGCACCTTAGCTGAATATAAAAAACATGAGGAGATGTTGGAGAAACGTTTTGCTACAGCCAAAACCATCAAGGGAAAACGCCAGTTTCATTGCTACAAACCCTCTGATTCAAATTGTTTAGAAAGTAAGATTTTTTCAAACCACTCAGAATATTTAATTGTACAAATATAAAAAAAAATCAACGTTGTAATTACATAAATAACAAAATTAGTAGACGTACTTAATTAAAAAATGTTTCATTCATAAAGTACCAATCATTCATAAGATACTTGGTTTGATAAAAAGGTATGCATCCAATGACGAACGAGCGCAAGGTTTATCGGCGCTGCGTTCCAACTTCCGGTAGTGGTTTCGCGTATCCACGGTGATGCTCAAACAGCCGTACTTTTTTATCAGATAGAGTGCACTAAAATATTTTTGCACCAATGGTTAGTGTATGCTTTATAGAATAAGATCGTAAAATTTTTGTTTAACACAAGGAGAAGTCAGTTAAATTGTCCATTTTTTTTGCCAAACTAATTATTATTTAATAATATTGATAAATAAAATTTTTCCAATATGAATATTTTTTTCGATTCTGCTCCTTTTCCTGAATACGTCAATAAAATTTGGTTAGTTTTCACTGAATATTTACGGAAATTAGCAATTAAAATATAAAATTGATGAAAAGAGGGTAAAAAATTCACATATGAATAAATTTTTGAAAAATTGAAATTTTCAAAAAATATTTTAAGACAATTATTTTCACATATAGACCTTTGAATATCTGCCACAACATATTTGAAATTCTACTACATACTTACTTTTTAGTGGCCCGTTTCAGAAAGTTTGACTCATTGCGAACTTTCAAGGATAAAATTTTAAAATGACATTTTCAATATTTACCAGCCCTTCTGCACCAGAAACTTGAATCTGTTTAAATTCTACAGGATTTGCTCATTAATTTTATACCTACACTTCTTCTCTAAGCACATTTCTATGAATTTTTTAAATCATTTTTGAATTACTGACGTCATAGTGAAAAACTAAAATGCAATTTTACTATATTTGGCCCAGGGTTTCGCGAATATATTGATATTTGTGTTTAAAATTTACTATCGCGCGGTGTTATATGTATAATGAGCAAGACCTTTATAAAAAAATATTAATTATTAAATAAAAAACGAAATATAGCCAATACTGGTCAAGAAAGCGAGTTTCTATTATTGCCATCAGTGCAAATTACAAATTCCGAAAATCCCGGGATTACTTGCTAAGAATCCCGGGATTTTCGAGACCTTAAAAAGTCCGGGATCCCGGGATTAACATTCCTAGTAGCTATAAAATTCTCACCAATGACGTCATGGCCGTTGTATACCATCCAGTAGGACCAGTAGCATTCGGACAAAATCATAACATATTCCTTTACATAGTTACAAGCGATGGATGCACCCACAGTCCTCTTGAGTAGAATACTCATTTCGTAAATATTTTGATAGTATTCCATAAACGTCTGCAACTCAGAACACATCACCTGCTCATTGTGGTGCCTCTTACCAGTGGTTGCAGAATTCGCTTGGCAACTGCGCCTACTTAACATTGCCAAGCGCTCTACATTCCTGTTCAACTGATCCACTTCGGTGCGCAACATATCCACAAAATGCATAATTTGCACTGAACGCATTTGACATATCAGGCCACTCGGCATAAAGGGTATGAAAAAGGACAACCACTGACGATTCTTGCTGATTGACTGAATGTAGTTAATGATAATAATGACATAAATGGCGAAGTAGAAGATACTTTTCGAAAGAGTGGTACGATAAATGGCACATTCGGCGCGATAAGTGCCTAAACTCCACTTTCTATGAACTTCAGTGTATAGGGTGAGGAACTTTTGCATATATTTCCGCTGTAGTATTGTTTCACTGAGTAAAACAAAGTGTGCAGTAATCGTGGCAGTCAATTTGAGGAAATCATTGAATTTTCCAAAGCTGTCACTATTGTAGAGTATCGAATCGTGATGAGTGCTTGTCCACAAGTGGAGCAAAAAGAAGAATACAAAATGCAAACAATGCCAAATAACTAGGAATCGAAGTTGGCGCGTGCTAACACGCTGTGGGCGTTGGCTGAACTCGGCGGGGTCGCATTTCAATTGCAATGGCACTGTGCACAGTCCAAGCAGCTGATATAGGCGCAGGTGCAACAAAGTAAAGTTGTCCAGCTGTACCGGCTGCTGGCTGTTGATCGCAGACTTTCGCAGTTTCATTTTTTTTTGCAAATACATATATATGTACATATGTACATACATACATAAAGTACGTAAATGCTTTTAACTTTACTTTGTCCAATTGTAGAATTTTTAATTTATTTTCTATAAATAAATATGTAAATATTTATGCATATTTTTGATAAGTGATTATTACTGAGTGTGTACATGACTTACTTGCAATACCCACGAAGCTATCAAACTGGTATACGTCGTCTAAGCGAGCATGTCTTGCGAATGGGCGTTACTTAACGAAACAAATTTGTTTTACTAACTCCATTAACTTAATTGTGCCACATACGCCCGCGCGTGAAGTGTTCCCGTGATGCTAATCACCTTTTCCTGACTGATTAATTGCTATCGCCATTGTTAGTTGCAATGGCAGCAACACTGCGACATTACGATTTAACTGCACAGGAGCAGTGGTCACGTTTGCCACTCACTGTGTTTTTGTACCGAAATATGTATAAGCTATAGTTTTAACTATTCAAAAGTGTTTCGAATATTTACATAATAATAAATAAATTTTTCGAGTATTTATTTTGTGAATTATTTTTTTATGCTGGAACATACCTTTCTTAATTAAAATTCTCTGTAAAAATGGCCACTATTTTTATACCCGAGCGCACTTGTGCACAAGGGTATTATAACTTTGTTCACATAACGGTTGTTTGTAACAGGCAAAACGAATCGAGATAGATATAGACAAATGTATACATAAATGATCAGAATGAAAAGAGATATCGATTAAGCGGTGACTGTCTGTACGTCCGTCCGTCCGTCCGTCTGTGCACACGATAACTCGAGTAAAAATTAAGATATCTTAACAAAACTTGGTACGTGTACTTCTTTCGGGCGTAGGACGGATGGTATTGAAAATGGGCAAAATCGGACAAAAACCACGCCTACCTTCCATATAACGGTAATTTTCAGAAATACGAAAACTGCGAAATTTTTGTAACTACTGAAGATTATTCACTCAAAATTGATATTTATAATAATTTTGAGACGAAAAATAAGAAAATTATAAATTTTTGAAAAATGGGCGTAGCCACGCCCACTTATGGTTAAATGTGTATATCTTGGCAACCGCTGCACCGATTTCTTCCAAACTTCGCACAATTGTTGGCTTTGGTACAGCATACCAAATGGCCGAAAATTTTAAAAATTGGACAATAACCACGCCCACATTCCATATAAGGGTAATTTAGAGAAATACGAAATCTTCGATAAATCAGTAAATATTAAAGCTAATTTATTCAAAATTGACGCTTGCAACCATCATTTACCAAGAAATACGTTTATGATAAAATTTTGGAAAATGGGCGTGGCACCGCCCACTTATGATCACATATATGTATCTCGGTAACCGTTCTACCAATTTGTACCAAACTCGGTTTGGTTATTGTGCTTGCCACATAAAAGCAAAGCGTTGAAAATTGTTGAAATCGGCATACAATTACGGCCGCTTTTCATATAACAATAAATTTCAGAAAGGCTTGAAATTTCAATATTTCGAAATTTAAGGGCGCTAACTTACTCAAAATTGATACACCCCGGCTTACCATGTAGCGGTAGCTTGCGGAAAGGTGAAAAACATATATTTAATACTTGCGCCGGGTATTTAATGTTCGGCTCCGCCCGAAATTTGACTTTCTTACTTGTTTTAGTTAGTATTATTGAACTAAGTAGTTATAATTATTATTATTTGAGTGAACAAAAGCTACCTATGTATATATGTTGATGTGACAAAAAAAAAAAATAAACTATTGTACATCTAGAGGCCAAGCCCCTTCATTTGATATCTCATTTTTTGGGCGTGATCACTCCGCTTTCCTCAAAATTCCTGACCGGTACTAAAAACCTTGGTTTTTTTAAAGTTGGTGGGCGGTAGTGCTGCAAAACTATCGATGGAACCATGGATGTTATCGATGGGGCCAATGCTTTAGCCACTATCGATGGTTTTTTGAATCCATCGATGGTATTTTCCTTTACACTCATAAATATAAAGAAGTTCCTTTTCCATTCACGTCAACCTGCGAAAAGGAAATTGTTGTAGCTTTCTCTTTTTTATAAGTTTGATAAAAATAAATGAATACACTTAAACTTAGTTTTATTCTAAATTTTCTAATATTAACCAGGGCTATCACAGAACCCATCGTACTCCGATTTCTCGTGAAATCTACGAAAATGTTATCACAGAATTCGAATAGCTTCGAACTTAGCATATACTTTGAATACACCCGTTCGTAGATATTCGGATTCAGTGATCGCATTTTCGTAGATTTCATGAAAAATCGGACAACGAAGGATTCTATGATAGCCCCTTCCAATTGCTCATTTCCTCCAAAAGCTTAACGTCAGTTAAGAGCTCATGTAAGTTTCAAGAATTTTCACATGAGGTGCAGGGCAGGGTTTATTTCTTATCTTTTTGCCTTTTTACTTTTGTTTTCTTCTACTAAACGTGATCAATTACCCCCTTAAAGTTGAAATCTCCCTTTACAATAGGCATAATTTGGGGTTAAGGCTTGATGGAAATGAACTATTAGTTTGAAAATAAATGAAAGGTGGTATTTTTTTAGCTTTTAAATCCGTTCAATAAAATATATGCAAATAAAATAATATTTGTGTACCCCTTTTCCATTTAATGGTTGTCTACAAAACTATCGAAAACCCTCGAGTAATCCTTGTAGGAGTAAAGTTTCAACAAATTACGACCACTTCTTGCATATGCATATCTACATTTGTCCATTTGTGCGTCAGTGCCAGTAGCACCGATGCGGTAATTGTCAAAAGTTAATTACAAATATTTCTTGTTATATTAGGAGACAAAACATATTGACGTAGAAAACGTCCTACGTTTCGATATGGAGGCTATGCTCAAATGTTGTAGTTGTAATTTTTAGAGCTTCACGAAAACGCTTATTGCACAAGAACTACTCAAGCGATTTCAAAGAAAAGTGTGGCGTTTTAAAGACAAAAGTCCAAACCTATCCACAGATAGATTTCTGTAAGTAACCGACTCGGTGTCTGTCGTAGAAACAACGGTAAATATTGGCCTATTTGGGGGTCAATTTTGAGCATTTAAAGTGCTCTAGCAATTTATAAATTGCAGATATAAATTTCATTTTCGACATATATGTAGGTTCTTCCGAGAAGTAGAAATATTATCAAATATCGAGCATTTTAAGGCAAAAAATTGTTGAAAACATTAGCAAATTTTTTTAAATTCCAAAATTATCGAAACCCGCTCGAATGATTTTGTTTTTGTTTTCCTTAATCAAAAATTCAAGTTTTTTCCTTTCGTTTGGTTGATATCTTCTAAGTATGTTTATTTTATTCAAATAAATGGGCATAGATGACTTTCCATACAAAATCACTTCGTCATCATTTTGCAAACATGTGCCTTGGAAGTGAGAGAAGGAGACAAAAAGTATGTATGTGTAGGTATTTCGGCTTTTGAGTAATAGATGGCGCTATATTTATAAACTATTCGCAGCGTATGTATGTAAATGCATACATACGTACATATGTTGATTGCAGTTAATGTGGATCTGTTTTTCTTTTAGTAATCTATGTATGTATTTATGTACATATGAATGCATAATGTGCGAAAATTTTTTCGGCATATCAGGCCTCTACCGTTCCTTCGATTTTACAAAATGAGGCATCAAAGTAAATGACTTGGCTTGTACATGTACAATAACTTCCTATCTTTACAAAAAGAGTTGCCACCTGATAAAAAATGAAATTCAAATTATTTTTAAGTTAAATCAATTATTACAGTATGAGTATCGATCGAAATGGTTTTGAAAAGGCTTTATTTCTTAATTGTATGTAGGTGGGTTGCCACCTGTTTCAAAAAGCAAGTTCGGCTTAAATAAAGGCAGAAAATTGAAATGTATATCCTGATACAGATGTCAGGCGAAAGAGGTTGTGGTTTGAAAATATTTTACAGAGGGTTGCCACCTTGTTACAAAGTTAGATTCAATATTAGCAATAGGTTAAATAAATTACTTCAATGTGAATATAAATCGAAGTTGCTTTGAAGAAACTTTATTTCCAAACTGCATGTAGGAGTGTTGCCACCTGATTTTATAATTAAATTTAAATTGAATGAAAAGGATTAGATAATTTAAACATGCATCACAATACAAGTGTCAGACGAAAAAGGTTTGACGAGGTTTTGGCTTAAAAATAATTTGAACAGGAATGACATCTGTTTGAAAAACCGAATTAAATTAAATTATATGAAATATTGAAATATTGGCGTCAGAGATATTAAGAAAAATCTGGTTTCAGCATTTATAACATTAAAGAGGGTTTCCATCTATTTAAAAAGTTAAACTCAAATTATATAATAAGTCAGATGAATTATTAGAGTATGAGCATAAATTTACATTCGTTAAAAATGTTTTTTTCTTAATTTTATTTAAGAGGGTTGCCATATTTTTTACAAATTAAATTCAACTTGAAGTAAGGGAATAAGATATACAATTTAAATATGTATCGCAATATGTGTGTCAGTCGAAAAAAATTTCAAAAGGTTTCGGTTTTAAAATATTTTGAATAGGGTTTCCACCTGTTTTAATATAAGAATTTAACTAAAGTATGCATAAGTTAAATGAAATATTAAAACATGACGTGAAACAAAGATGGTAAGATATCCTTAGTTTGAATATTAATAATATTAATAAGGGTTGCCACCTGTTTAAAAATGTAAACTCAAATTATTTAATAAGTGAAAGCAATTAGTAAAAATATGGGCATCAAATTAAATGGGTTTAAAAAGGCTGCATTTCTGAACTTTATTTAGAAATGTTGTCACCTGTCTGCAATTTTAGAAGCGTTGTTACATATTTAAAAAATAAAGTTTAACTTAATTCATCCATGAAATATGTAGGTATCAAAATATAAGACGCAAGCTGATGGTACATATGATTGAAGTTAATGTGGATCTGCTTCTCTATTGCTAAGTACTAATATTTTGCAAATTCATA